TGTCCCGGGGAAGGAACGCGGGAACTGGGCCCTTCGAAGGGCAGCGGCTGCCAGGTCCGGTGGCCGGTCTGACCAGTTTGCCAGCAGGAGTCCCGGGTCTGATGCGTGACAGCTCTGGCATAGTGGGCAGTCTCACACGTGGCTGTCGAGCTGCCTCTCCCAGGACGTGGTTTGTGGAAACAAGCACGTTCCTGTGAAGTGCTAGCGATGTTCTCAGCATCAGTGGCATAGAAATGCTCAGCCAGCAACTGGAGCACACCATGCAGGGAAGCAAGAGTATCTTCCCAGACTCCTCTCTGCTCCCAGGCTGTATGTGCTTGTCGGGTACGTGTTAAATGCCATCCTCAGGCTGATGCTCCATAGCCAGGTGAGGGTTGTATCTGGAGGGGAGTGTCCCCCGAGCAGACTTGTCTCTTTTCACAAGCCTCAGTTGGCCTCGTGTGTGCCCCTGCTGCAGAACTGGGTGTTTGACCTTTGCCTGGTGTCCCTGCCCCTACACATTCCACTTTGGCTAATCATCAGCAGTCATTCTCCCCTGGGGCTTACTTCCTTCCTGAGCTGTTTGTGAAGCTGCTCTGTGTGACCATCGGTGAGGCGTTGCACAGGAGCAGAGGAAGTGATGCCTTCCCAGGAATCTAGGTACCCGGCTGGCTCAGGGCTCTCAGATGCCTCTGCAATGAGAGGCGATAAGATCTTTTGTCATGAGGAGAGGTTTTCTGTCACTCCATTGGCTCCTTTCCGGTACTTGGGACCTGATTGCAGCATCCTGTGCTCTAGGTGTGGTTCTGCGTGATCTGAGGTGCGGATGGTATGAAAACCCAGGATGAGTGGCAGCAGGGGGTGATTCCCAAGCCTGTGACATTGCTGGGCAGTGGCTGGGGTGCCAGTCCCTGTCTGCTGTGTGTCGGGAGCTGCTCTGAGTGATGTGACCTTGACCCAAGCTCTGCCTTCCAGGTCTCAAGAGCCCGCTCTCGCTGGCCTCCCGCCACTCTCTCAGTTGACGTCTCTCTGAGCTGTGTGACTTGCCTGACTTTGGTTTCTCTTTCCTCCACTAGTGCTGGTGGCATGTGAGTGCCTCGTCTGCCAAGAAGCCAACTCGCTGTTTGAAGAGCTTTCCAGGGACACAGGCTTCATTCGTGTCTGTAACGACCCTTCAGCGTGAGTGGCTGCCAGGGGCGTCCGGAGCTAAACTCGTTCCAGGCGTCATGCGAGGCTCCGCGTTAGCGCCTGCGTCCTCACGGGGAGAACAATAATAGCTCCACGCACGGCAGGCTCCTGCCAGTGCCAACTCCCTCAGTCTCCTCCAATGCAGGCTCAGGGATGGACTCCACCTTGTCCCTGTGAAAAGACTCTGCATGCTCTCAGCAGCCAGAAGGGGATTCTGCTGCCAGCTTCCTCAACAGCAGCCCCACAGCAGGACTTGCTCCGCGGCGCCGTGGGAGGACGCCCCTTCGCGCGGTTTTGTCGCTGCAGTGCCCACCGCACATCCATGGAGGAACCTCTCTGTGTGTTCTGTCTGTGAGCTCCTTGGCCCACGCTGTCTGAGCTTGCCTGGGCTCCTGGCAGACTGTCCGTTTGTTTTCCCCACTGCTCTCCCTGATCCTGTTTCGTTCCCGCTCTGTCAGAGCCCCAGAAGGATGTGAATTTTGGAATGGGGTCTGTGAGCAGGCTGCGGGCCCAGTGCGTGTATGAGACTGTTGCTGAATAACAGGAGGACTGGCTAATTGCTGCAGGCAGCCCTTTTCTCTGGCTGCAGGGCACCAGCCTTGCCTGGGCCCTTCACCATGTTCCTCCTGCTACCATTTGACAGCCTCGTTGTTAATCTCTTGGGCATTTCCATAACTGTCCTCTTCACTCTGCTTCTGGTTTTCATCATTGTGCCAGCAATTTTTGGAGTCTCCTTTGGCATCCGCAAGGTATATATGAAAACCTTATTAAAGATTTTTCAGGTAAGTCACATTTTCAGAATTCTCTGTGTGTTTACAGGGGTCCCGTCAAGCAGGGTTGTGCTAGGAAGAGGGGCCTCTGCCCCTCAGCAGAGCACTGCAGATGACTGGCGTGGGCAGTCGGTTTTTTAGTGACATGTGCTGGTGCCAAATGGCCCATTTGGGTCACCTCAGCCAAATGCAGTTTACTAGATCTCTGTCTGCGGGCTGTTTTTTCCCTGTAATTAATCCAGGTGAATATCAGGAAAAATTTTTTCCCTGTGAGGGTTCCAGAGCACTGGAACAGGCTGCCCAGAGAGGTTGTGGAGTCTCCTGCACTGGAGTCATTCCAAACCCGCCTGGACGCCTTCCTGTGTGATGTACTCTGGGTGACCCTGCTCTGGCAGGGGGGTTGGACTAGATGATCTTTCGAGGTCCCTTCCACCCCCTATGATTCTATGATTCAAGTAAGGTAGTAGGATAGTGTGGCCCCTAAGTAGGATCTGTAGATGTGCTGAGAGGGTGTGTGCTTGGATGGGTTAATGTCCTAAGCAAGGCAGAATGTTGTTACAGTTCAAGGTGGAAAGAAGCCAAAAGGGATGTAGGGTGTGATGGGGAGGGGCAAGTCTGCAGTCACCAGGCTGTTCCTTTCTAGGACATGTTTGGATGAAGCAAAAGCAGGAGGCAAGGCAAGATTTCCTCTACTGCAACCCCCGAGTGATCTGTGACCAGAACCCAGAGGTCTCAACACCTTTCTGTCCCCCAGTGCCGCCTGCTTATCTGCTGAGCCTGGTGGCTGCGCCTGGACATGAACTGTCTGGACCTGCAGCCCCTGAGGACAACCAGCAGCAAGTCCTTGCTGACCCTTTTGGCATAGAGAGGCCAAGTGGAATTTTCCAGCTTGGGGTCATGCTGTTCTCTTGCTAGCCTCTGGCAGACTAATTTTATGGGCTGTCTCACAGCCAACACCTCTCCTTGAAGCAAGTCCCACGTGAGAGCAGAATTTTTGCCAAACTCCTGGTAGATAAAGCCTATGCCACCCTACCCTGTCAGCCCAGGCAAAGGGAAAAGGGGTGCTCTGTGCTTGGTAGGGAGGTTTTGAGCTCTTTAATATGGAGTTCAGTCTGATCAAGGATTTATGGTACAGCTACTGCTGTTTAAACAGGGCCAGTCTTCCCCAGGAGTGTCTCTGTACTGGGTGGCTTGGGAAGGCAGCCCTAGAGCTCACGACATTCAGCTCTTTAAACTCGGTCCTCCCAAAAGGCTGAGGTGTGAATGAGAAGACCCTGGGCTTTGTGAGGTGCTTCATTAACACACATGCTTGAAGACCTGACTTCAAATTTAGTGACAACTAGGAGAAAAAATTAAGAAGTTTGATTTATCTGAAATTGAACTTTTTTCTTTTTTCTTTTTTTCCTTCAATTCAGGGGTGTTTAATCTCAACACCTATTTTGGTGTTTAACTTCAAACTATTTTTCTGAAAAGACTTTGAGTTCTTTTTCAGCTTCTATCAAAGAATTTTTGTGGTGAGAGAGGTGAGCACCGTGGCCCAGATGCTCACAGATTTTGTGTAAAATTCAATAGGTTGGGTCATTCAGAATTGTATTTTTGGGGAGCATTATTTACCCTGAAGATTCTCCCAGCTCTAGAGGCCAGCGTTGTGGAGCTAACCCAGAGGGGTAGTGCTCAGGCTGGGCAGCCTGTGGGGCTCAGCCAGGGCTGTGGGGCCTGGGGTGGTGGCTGCACATCTCTGGCAGTGGCGAGGGGAGCTGCCTGGTGCTCCCCCAGTGGGACTCTGGGTTTGCTGCTGCCCCAGTTAGGGTGGAGATGTGCTGGGCTTGTGAGGAACTCCTTCTCCATAGGCTGCCCAGCTCCTGCTGGGTCAGAGCTCCTCTTGTGACTTGGGATGGCAGTGTCTAGACAATCTTCTGCAACGCTGCAGTTCCTTCTGCTGGCAGAGGAGGCTGTTTGAGAAGCCGGACACTCCGTATGGAATCAACATTCCCACATCACTGCCTTCTGATCTGATGCTGGCACAGGCTGAGACCAGGATTCCAGGAGCTCCCAGCAGCTTACCCTCCATCATGTCCCTGGTGGAGCAGCCAGCCTGGAACAATAAGCATGTTGTACACAAGTCCTCCTTTAGAAGCTTGTTTTCCCAGACCTCTATAATGCAGAAGAGTGTGAGGCTGAGAAGGTTGCTTGGAGGGCAGGCAGGAAGAATGGCCAGAAATCCAGCCTTGTTTCTGCTGGTGCCCTTGAGAAAGAGCAGAGAGAGATTTCTGTAGATAACAGGTCGTCTAGGCACGGGATTTGGCAGCCAGCTGACAGAGGGCTGTCTGAGGGTGCTGCTGCTGCTTTGGGTGGACTGGAGTGCTGAGAAGCAGCAGCAGCTGGTAGCTGAATCGGGGAGGGAAGGGTCTCATCCTATCACCAGGCTGATGTTTTTAGCAGCAGATTGAAAACACCGTCTCTGCTTTGAGCTTGGAAGAAATGGGGGTTGGAGAACAGTACTGGTTCCATGATTGGCTTCCTGCATCGTGGTGTGGCCCACCCCAGCAGGAAGTGCTGTGCACCCAGAAGCTGTCTGTTGGCAGCCACATGCCAGGTGCAGCAGAGCCTTCAGGACACAGAGGCTGCAGAAGACCTTGCTCTACCCTCTTACCACTGAGCACTCTGCTCTGGCACTCTCTGCTTCTCACTGGGGCTCTGCTCTGCAGAGTGGCACACAAACATCTGCACATCATGGCTATACTGTGCCTGTGCTGGCCACCTCCCTGTCAGTCCTCTTGTCCCATTACTGGCAGATCTCTGCTGTAAAAATGATCCTCCCAGGCTGATTTCTGCTTCCACCTTGGTTCAGTGGTGTTGGTCACTCTTTCTGTTCTGTGTGGAAGCCTCCTGCCTTAGCCCCATCTTCTCCTCATAACCATGGTCTCCCTGGAAGTCGACTGTGAAGCAGGGGTGGTATGAAGTGGAGCTACAGGCCTTGCAAGTCTTGCTTGTCTCTTGCAGTGGGCAACCCTGAGAATAGAGCGTGGTGCCAAGGAGAAGAACCATCCATTATACAAGCCCTATGTCAATGGTAAGGTCCTGTCCTGCATGGGTACACAGGAAGTTCACAATTCTTTTTGGGAGATGGGGTGTCTCAGCAGCCAAGCTATGCTGGGAAGCTTCTTCCACATAGATGGGTTGGATGGAGCTGTGGAGAGGTCCATTTTGTGAGGAAGGGGAGGGAAGCACTTCCGTTGTCGAGAGCTAGGAGGACTGTTTTATGCCTGTCTGGACTGGAGAATGGAGGGGCCCCTGTGGAGGGCAGGTGAGCGAGGGCCCTGGCTCTCAGCTGTTTTTGAGCAGGCAAGTCTTACTTGGCTCAGGGCTGCCTGCGGCGTGTTGCAGGTATCATTGCAAAGGAGCCAACATCACTGGAAGAGGAGATCAAGGAGATCCGCCGGAGCGGCAGCGGCAAAGCCCTGGACACCCCTGAGTTTGAGCTCTCAGATATCTTCTATTTCTGCCGCAAAGGCATCGAGACCATCATGGATGATGAAGTGACCAAGAGGTTCTCAGCTGAAGAGCTGGAGTCCTGGAACCTGCTCAGCAGGACCAACTACAACTTTCAGTATATCAGCCTGCGCCTCACCGTGCTCTGGGGACTGGGTGTGCTCATCCGCTACTGCTTCCTGCTGCCTCTCAGGTCAGCGCCGCTGCGGCTGCTCGCCGGCCCCGCCGCGTGCCGGGAGGGACGGGCTCTCTGAGGAGCAGTGCCTGTGGCCTGGTTTTGCTATCGCAGAGCTTCCCTCTTTCTGCAGGATAGCCCTGGCGTTTACCGGCATCAGCTTGTTGGTGACTGGGACTACAGTGGTGGGATATTTGCCAAATGGAAGGTGAGTTCATCTTTAAGGGAAGAGGGTGTGGGGAGCCCCTGTCTGATCTGAGACCTGGTCATCCTGAAGTTTTGATGCCAAGGCCTCTCTGTTTTGCCCATTGAAGACAAGGCAGGTGGTCCTGGCATCTGTAGCCTCTCAGGAACAGGCACCCTGTATTTTTAAACAAAGGGTCCTAGATGTGAACACCGAGCCCTGGGCTCTGAGCAGAATAGTCACAGAAAAGAGCAAATGCAAAAGTTTGGTTCTCCCGAGCTAAGAGTATAAGCTGACAACAAAACCTAGGATGAGACATGTTTCTGTGGGAAAGATGTGAAGTCTCACAGCCTGGGGCAGCTGAGCTGCGTGGCACCATTACAGGGGACATTGCAGAACTGGGCTGTGATGGTCTCTGCCTTGGCTGCAGGTGTAAGGAGTTCCTGAGCAAGCACGTCCACCTGATGTGTTACCGGATCTGTGTGCGTGCCCTCACCGCCATCATCACCTACCACGACCGGTAAGGAGGCACTGCCTGCTGCAGCACGGCCCTCCCCGCCAGCTGCCCCGTGCCGGGCCTCTTACAGGCCTCACACTTTGTTCTTCTGTCCTCCTCTGTACCCTTGGTTTACATTTAGAGAAAACAGACCCCGAAACGGAGGCATCTGTGTGGCCAATCACACATCCCCCATTGACGTGATCATCCTGGCCAGCGATGGCTACTACGCGATGGTAAGGCCTGTGCCCGGCCCCGCGCTGCCTGCCGGGGCCTGCCCGCCCTCTGGTGGGAGCAGCAAGGGTGTGGCGTGGGACAGGGAGTGGAGGGGCAGCAAGAGGCTTTGGAGCATGCAGAGCTACTTTTCCCTGCGTGATATCACAGGGCACTGTCAGACCCTGTACCCTGTGGCTTTCTAGCAAGCTTGTCCTGGGACTCGGAACACCAGGGTTCTCTGGGCACTGCTGTGCCCATAGAGCTCTGGGCTCTGCTATCCGTGGAAGAGCAAAGCAGCTGGAGGTCCCCAGCTGGACCTCCTGCAAGGTGGAAAGCTCTTGGGAAAGCACTTGCTACATCTGTCCTCCCAGTCAGAGCCTTGGACTTTTCCTCTCAGCCTTTCCAGGGCAGGGGTAGAAAAATGAACCTCGACTTGGCTGTGAAGTCAGGAGCTGCCTTGGCCTTCCTGTGTCCCCAGGTCTTGTAACTTGTGTCCTCTTGTCCTGTTCAGGTGGGTCAGATCCACGGAGGGCTCATGGGTGTGATACAGAGAGCCATGGTGAAAGCTTGTCCCCACGTCTGGTTTGAACGCTCTGAGGTCAAAGATCGTCACCTCGTTGCCAAAAGGTGTGACAATTGGTAGCTTCAGGGGAAGGTCTGGAGTCTGGGAAGGAAGGGGCTGCCCACTTCCCTTGGATGAGGACACTGCTTAGCCTTGTGGGTGCTGGGAGACTGTGCTTGCACCCAGATAGTCCCCAGTGGGTGCAGGGCAAGGGCTGTCTGCTGCATTGGATTGCTAGTGATAGTTTCTGTGCCCTGTGCTAACTGGTGACACTCTTCTGTTTAGGCTCACAGAGCATGTCCAGGACAAGAGCAAACTGCCGATTCTTATCTTTCCAGAAGGTGAGTTTTGGAGCAAGGCCAGAAAAGCAGCTGGTGGAGAGGGCACACTGGGGCAGCAGCACATCTCTGTTCCTTCCCTTCCTGTGCAGCCAAGGGCCTTGAGGGCTTTCCCTGAGACATAGGGGACATTGCATCCTTAGAGCTGACTGGACCCAGAACGCAGGAGTCAGATACACGGTGTCCCAGTGGCACATCCCATACAGAGAGAGGACAGGGTTTGGAGGGTTAGGGGCATTTGCTGGGTGCCTGTGCCCTTGCCCTGAGGTGTGCAACTTAGGCTTCTGAACTGACTTGGAAAGGGAGGTTGAGAAGATTGTGCTTGGCTCTTACAGGAACCTGCATCAACAACACGTCTGTGATGATGTTCAAAAAGGGGAGCTTTGAAATTGGAGCCACGGTTTACCCTGTAGCCATCAAGGTATGAGAAGGCAAACATTCTTACAGCACAAGTAGCCCTGTGCACAAGAGCCCAGTCTTGGCAGCCAGGACCTGGCACTGCTGGGTGAACAGCCTGGTCTGAGGACGTGTGGAAGCTGGGGTCACTCCATGTAGTGCTCTGGGGAGCTGGGCTTGGTGCAGGACTGGGAGCCTCAGGGAGGATGCAACCACTGCCTGACTTGCGTGAGCTCTTCTGTCTCTCTAGTACGACCCGCAGTTTGGAGATGCCTTTTGGAACAGCAGCAAGTATGGCATGGTAACCTACCTCCTCAGGATGATGACCAGCTGGGCCATTGTCTGCAGTGTCTGGTACATGCCCCCAGTGACCAGGCAGGTAGGTGAGGTGAACCTGGCATGTCTTATCTGCTGCCTGCTTGCTGAACAGCTTTGTTTTGCCACAGCCCGAAGAAGACGCCGTCCAGTTTGCCAATCGAGTGAAGTCAGCCATTGCCAGGCAGGGGGGTCTTGTGGATCTGCTCTGGTGAGTCTAGGAAGGCTTTTCTCATCCTGGTGCCAGGGTCCTGGGTCCTGAGTCCTGGCATGTGCTTGTGGGCTGTAGAGCTACGTTTGTGTCTTGCACTGGGCAGCGTAGGCCTATGGAGAAATGGGGAGACGTCTTTCCTGTGACCTGCAAAGCTGCTCTTCCATATCAGGCAGCGAAGTCTCTGCTTCTGTCCTGTGTGTTGGGCACCAGGGCTTCATTCTGTGGTTCCAGCTTGCACTCAGATGCCCTGGCTCAGACTTGTTGCTGCTCAGCAAAGAGGCTTGAGCTTGGGAGCTTCCTTTTTCATGCACTGAGGTCTTCAGAGCCTGGGAGGCAGAGGGACTCTGAAGGTGGTCTCCTGTGGCACCATCTGAGCAACTCACACTTCTGACAGAGCTGCCGTGTTGAGCGCAGTGTGGGGCTGTGGGTGCAGCTCCTCACAGAGCATGGTGTGCATGTAACTCCCTCTGGGGACAGTTGGTCTGTAGCGTGCCCTGGCAACGTGTGGTCCAAGTGTCGCTGTTGTGGGTAGATCTGACCTGCTCCTGCTGAGCAACCCCAGCTGCAGTTTCAGAAAGCACGCACACATGCAGAT